GTGGACTCAGATCCACTTACCCGCGTTCTCACCGTATCCCTTAATTCCTTTACTGTTCAAAAAAAATTTACCTTTTTTTTAAAAACGTTTACTGAAGTAGCATCAACTACTTCACTGGGCAAGGAATTCCATAGATTAACAACTCTCTGGGTGAAGAAATTCCTTCTCAATTCAGTCCTAAATCTGCTCCCTCTAATCTTGAGGCTATGCCCTCTTGTCCTAGCTTCACCTGCCAGTGGAAACATCCTCTCTACTTCTATCTTATCTATTCCCTTCATAATTTTATATGTTTCTATAAGATCCCCCCTCAATCTTCTGAATGCCAATGAATATAATCCCAATCTACTCAGTCTCCCTTCATAAGCCAACACCCTCAACTCCGGAATCAACCTAGTGAACATCCTTTGCACCCCCTCCAGTGCCAATACATCCTTTCTCAAGTGAGGAGACCAAAACTGCACACAGTACTCCAGGTGTGGCCTCACCAGCACCTTGTACAGCTGCAACATAACCTCTCTGCTTTAAATTTCAATCCCTTTAGCAATGAAGGACAAAATTCCATTTGCCTTCCTAATTGTTGTACCTGCAGACCTACCTTCTGTGATTTGTACCTGCAGACCTACCTTCTGTGATTATCCATTGTTGAATCATATGGGGTTTGAAATAATGTTTTTATGGAGCTGAAAACAAATGCATTGACAGGTTCGTCTGAATTCCTTCCTATCTCAATAAGAGCGTTAACCCTGCAGGTTTATAACTCCATAGATATTTATTCTCAAGGATCCATCACAGCAATACAAACACTACCTTCACCGTATTGTGAAATTGTTTCTCCAGGAGGGAAGCTGTATTAAGAACCACAGCCCAAAATGATTCACATTACAGTTTGCATGGCCATTTTATTTCAATTCACCATAAATAACATCCCAAGCCATGCAGATTTATAGCTGGGCTACAAACAGAGTTTAGGCTGGGCTAATAAATGAGCCTTAGCTTCCTGAACTTTGATCTTGCTATTTTTAAAGCACACAAAACATAAAAGTAAGAATTTCTATAATCCCCGTTAAAAACATCCATTGTCAGGAGGAGAGAATTTCATAATCACCGTGATTGGGTAGTGTTAACACATCTGGAAGATGAAACTTTGCAGCTGTATTTAAGACTGGGATCCTGGTAGCCATGCTGCTATAGACACATTTTTTAGGTGACAGGTGTGTTTGACTTTTGATCTTTGTTATGTGGTAAAGTGCTGAATACAAAATCTTATTCTATAGTTTTTATTCAAAATCATATACTTGACACATAAAGATCACTCTTCTTCAATCACAAGAATGGATGCAGCTTGCACAATATGGATTCAATTGTCCATAATTTAGACAATAGTTTATTGATGCTTCTTTGAAGAGCCAGTACAGGTATGATAGACCATTTGGCATATTTCTGCATTTTAACAATTCTGTGATTCTAAGT